TAACTGAGATATTGATACAAATTATTAACCCTTACGCCCCCCCCCTTTTTAAATAATTGCTCTAGCCGTTACCATAGTAATTTTAATTTTAATAATGAATATGCTTTTAAGAATTAGTTATTCCAAAAACAATTTTGCTTGAAGATGGAACAGAGCTTAGTACTTTAATTCAATTTAATTCAAATAATTATATTGAAATTTTCGGCTCTTTTTTTGAAACATGAAAACAACTTTGGATTATTTACCTAACGAGTTTTTTTCCTATTTTCTATATATTTTCACACACACATATATATATATATTTCAACCATGTTTGGTTAAATAATTTAGATGTATTATGTCTATTTATTTTAGTTCTAATCCTTTCAAGAACACAAATTTCTTGGTGCCTATAGAAAATTGATTAAGAAAATTTACAATATTTTCTTTCAAATAATTTTTATTTTCTGCAAGCACTTTCAATCTCATCTAAGACCATCTTCAGGGGTTTAAAATATCTATGGATGCATATTCAGTAGCACCATAAATTCAAAATATTTTCTTACGGTTGATTTACAGTGTTCTAAATTCAAATATGTGAGAGGGGTAACTTTGTAATTTTATTTTAATATTTAAAAATGCAAAAGTTTTTTAGTTATAACATTTTAATTTAGTATTTTATATAAAACTTTGCTTCTACTAACATTTAAGAACTTTGTTGCTATACTCTAGTTGACTTTATTTTTGGCTGCAATTCTCTTATATAAAGGGCTTCCAGAATTTTAATTTTTACTTATTGTTTTTTTGATGAAGTACTAATGTATTTTTGACTAATATCTGTCTAAACTGAATGTGGACATGAATGTTCCTTTAACTGTTCTGTGATTGAACTAGGCTCATTCAAGTGAAACATAAGCGGTCTAGTCAATGACATTGTTGTAAAACCAACATATGTATTAACATTTTTATCAGAGATGCAATCTCCCAAAGGACATGTAAATTGATATACAATGTCGGTCTTTTGTAAAATTATATTTCACAGAAGAATTGATTTCAATGACTACGTTGGTTGTATTAAATTTAGTATAGCATATAATTAATTTTATTTTTTTACTTGGATCAGTGAGGGATATATTAGTATTTATGAGACATTTAAATTTTTTTTACTCCTACTTATAGTTAGAATGCATTTGATTATGGTATAGTAGTTTGATATGCTTAAAGTTATTTGATGATGTATTATGTTACTTTTATTTATGTTTATATACTCAATAGCTCGTCTAATTTGTTCATCAACTATGTAATTAGGAAAGTCATTATTAATGAGGGTTTGTTTAATATTTTTTTAATTCAGTATAGAAATCTTCCTTGTTGAAGAGTTGGAAAATTTTTTTGTATAGTATATTAAGTTTCATATAATAGCTATTTTGTAAGTTAGGACATTCACTTTTATAGTTGAGAGTGCAGGTGTTTATGCTAGTTGTTTTTTATATAGTAGTAAATGTATTATTATTAGTGTCTATCAGTACATCAAGAAACGGGATTTTATTGTCATTGTGAAGTTCATATGTGAACTTAAGTATAGAGTTTTTTGAAAGTTTTTTTATAGTTCATTTATTTCATCTATGTCTGACTAAAATGAGAATGTCATCTATATATCTTAGGTAAATGTAGAGTTTTTGTAGTATTAAGTACATTATTTTCTAGGTTAGTTATGTATAAGTTGCTAAATGTTGGTCTTAGTATGAAATCCATAGAAACATCATCGCATTGTATGTATACGTCATTTTTATGGTCATAGAAAAGAACTTCTGTAGTGCATATCAAGGGTAATTTCCTTAAAATATTAGGACAAATTTATAGTGGGGAGGAGAGATAGATTGTTGTAGATATTCTTTATGATTATATCTATCATTCCCTTGATTGGGAAATTGGTGAAAATAAATAGACATAATACGTCTAAATTATTTAACCAAACATGCTTAGATGAAAATATGCTATATATATATATATATATATATATATATATATATATATATATATATATATATATATGAGAAATTGTATGACAAATTGGAAAAAGTCTACTTGTGACGCATTTCATCCTTCAGGACTTCATCAGACTAACATAATAAATTTAGTCTGATGAAGTCTTGAAGGACGAAATATGCCACAAGTAAATGATTTCCATTTTGTCATACAATTTCCTCAATACTATTGTTATATATATATATATATATATATATATATATATATATATATATAGATGTATTTTAAGACATTTTTATGTTTATACATTCTTTTTATAGATACAAATATTTCAGTAAATGCTCTGTTTATAATAAAGTATTAAACAACATTTACTGGCCTGAATGTCCGAGAAATTTTCCCAGAAAATATTCATCCTCCGACAGATTTCTAACCTGTATCCAATAGGGGACAGTCATTTAGCTTGATGTGCCTTTAACCGATTTGGCCACAGATGATCGTTCGGTTAGCAAGGTCGAATTTACTGTATTTGAACTTCAATCTTCTATGAATCTCTCACATACATTCATATCTGCTCATGGCGTATCAAATGTAAATGTAAAAAGAATGTATAAACATAAAAATGTCTTAAAATAATTGTCGGACTTTGTGTGACGTCATTTGTTTACAACTCATCTAACATACACATTTTCAATACCAAAAAATAAAAACACCATACAACGAAGCACTAAAAGCAAGTGGATACACACATCAACTACAATATACACCTCCACAACCAAAACGCAAAAACAGAAAAAGAAATATTCTCTGGTTTAATCCATCATACAACAAAACTGACAAAACGAACATAGGCAAGACATTCCTAAACTTAATAGAAAAGCACTTCACTGAAAACAAACCGATTAGCAAAAATATTCAATAAAAATAATGTTAAAATCAGTTACAGCTGCACAAAAAATATAACAGAAATAATCAAAAGCCACAACAAAAAAATGACAACCTACAAAAATTAAACCAAGGATCCAAAATGCAACTGCAGAAATAGAACATGTCCACTCCAGGGAAATTGCCAACGTACGAATACAATATATAAAGCCAAAGTAAGTGAAAACAACAGCACAATGTACTACATCGGTGCCACTGAGGGTCCATTTAAGAAGAGGAAAAACAACCACAACCTTTCATTCACCAACAGAAAATACTCGAACAGCACTACATTATCCACATACACATAGCAGCTAAAAGACAGAAATATCACACCAAGAATAAACTGGAAAATATTGAAAAAAGCACCTGCCTACAGCAACATCACAAAAAAAATGCCTACTTTGCCTACACAAAAAAGTAGCAATAATATCCCATACCCAGCAAAAGAATTTATTAAACAAAAGATCAGAGATAATCTCCAAATGTAGGCATGAGAATAAATACCTATTATCAGAACTTATACCAAACAGATATAAAAAAAAAAAAACCCCAAAAAACACCAACAATCACTCTTTAGTTCAAGCTACCATCACAATAATTACATTTATTGTTATTATCATTCCACCACCATTAGTATCACTTTACAATAACTATTAGCTACTAATATTATCATTACCAGCAATCCCCCAACACCATTAATACCACATCACATCTACTATTATCATATAAACCTGCTATAATTATTAACGTAAACTACTCCCAGCACTCCCCCAGCATATTTAATACCAATATAAAAACCAATAAGGATTAAAAACTGCAATTTCTACCAGTTACATATACGCAGTCATCAAAAACAAGCAAATAACCAGCTTTAAAATAATAACAAATCAGCCTTAAAAAATTAAAAATAATAGCAATTTTTACCTATCATAATTTTACACAGACCCCAACATACATATATACATGTGTGAGGAAATATTATTCAGCGAAAGAATAGAAAAATGGTCTGATTGTTGACATGTATACATTTACGAGAAATTTTCGCTACACTTCTGATCTTTGAATTTCAACATACAAATGTGTATGTATATAGACAACATCACACATATACATACATATGTGAAGTCCCATACTGTCTACATATGTTTATGTTTGTATGAGCCCCGGCGGGCGAGTGAGTGAGTGTGTATGCGTGTCTGTGTATCTCAACGGGTGTATGGACATGCATCTATGTTTGCGTTAGCGTGAGTGACATCACGTCGATGATCCCTCCCACTTCCAAAATAACACCAATACACGCAATCTACATAAATCCAAAATTTAAAAAAATTAATCAGTTTGTCTGACGATCACAAAAGTGTGAAACCCAGGGTCACAAACTCACGTCAATCCAACCAAATATGTTAGCTCTATCTCTAATAAGTACTGCACATATAATATATATATATATATATATATATATATATAAAGGATTTATCTTTCAACTTTTTGCAAATACAACACTCACTAGAATATGATAAATTTATTAAATTCATTAACAAATATATTTACATTAAACTCTGGTAATTTATAGCTCAACATGTTTTGTTAGGCATTAATGATCTTTGTTATTATATAGTGTAAGTTCTAAATAATTTGTTTTTGAATAAAAAATGTTAGTGTTAAGATAAGCAGGATTCGTAAGGTAATTCAATTTTTGCTGTAAGCCAAAGTGCTCATTTGTGATCTTTCAATGTGCAATTTTATCTTTAATCTCTTGAAGTTATGGATTTATTTATTTTTTTTATATTTTTATTACACCTGCAAATTAAATTTTCCTGTAATGTCAAGCAGTATGTCATCTGGCTGACTGAATTAATCTGTCCCAACTCCCTAACATCGAGATCAAATGTGGACCTAATTCATTCATACCAAAATGTAATCAGAACTTCATAATTTAATAGTCAATTGAAAAGAAAGAAGAATATGTGTCTTGTGAGGGGGGAGGGGTCAGGTATTTTGATTTGGTTTGCAAGAAATGCAAGATAGCAAAACAGTTGAATATTTTTATCTCTTAAAATAAAATAACATATTCCCCCTCCCAGAGAAAATTTAGAGTTTCTTACCTGGAAAATCTGTTTTAAGGAGAAAAGTGCTCGTCGAAGTTCTCTTCCACTGGAGTTGAGGAGTTTTTCTGTTAAAAAAAAAAAAAAAAAAAAAAAAAAAAAATATATGTGCAAGGTATTAGCAGAAGATGTGTGATTAATGGCAGGAAAAATGGTAAAGCTTAAATTGCAGGTGATGAAACCTTATTAGCTTTAATATTGCTTTTATTTTATTTCTTTTTATTAAAAGAAACATTGCCAACCAGTATTTCTCAGCAAGCTAGCCTAACAAGTCATTTGGCTGAACTAACTAATGTTGAAGACCAGCTACAAACTGGGATTTTGAGTACCGATTTTTCCAGGCAGGTTTTTCCTCAGCAGAAAATAATTGGGGTGCCACACGATAGAGCCATTTAGTCAAGCAGACCATAATTACTGCAGTGGGTTTGATTCTCATTCAGGTTCCAAAATTAATCATACTTGTGTTTTAATAATTAAAAAAAAAAAGAAGAAATGGATTAATATTTCATTTATGGGAAAAAGACAACTTTTTAAAAATTTTCTGTTAACATTTATTTCTCAATGTTCTTTCTATTTTTTTCTCTTTTCTGACTTTTGAACACTTATAAAACTTGAAGAGCAACATTATTGCAAACAATATCCTTAAGAGCTTGACATCTTACTTGATAAAATGAGAACAAAAAGCATCTTGAGGAGGTAAGAATTAAGAGTTGAGTCATTAGTTAGTCTTTATCATTTTTAAGTCAACATTTATTCTAAGTGGGTAATAGAAAATGAGGACATATTCATTTTGGAAAAAAAAAAAAAAGATGCTACATTTTTTCACAAAGATATTTTAACTCTTGTGAATCTTCAGAAACACACAAAAAAATAAGAGCCTTGAGTGTGGGCCATGGATTGGGATAATTTTTTCTTAGTTTTATATATGTTGTTACTTCAGGTGTTTGGTTACAGCAAATTCTTTAAAAACAAGACTAATTTACAGGAAATAGAAACAAAGATGGTTTTCCTGACTTAATTCAAAATCCTTTATTCTCTTAGGATGGTGCCAATTGCAATATTGGCAAGAATACATTTTTACATCTTTCAGTAACTTTGTCAGAGGTAACACAAGGATAGATTTGTTTGTCAGTTTAAAAATTTAAATTAGATAAGTGTTTATGTAAAATGAATTACAATTTTTATAATAAATTTATGAAAACTATTGGAAGATATTCAACTTAGCAAGTTGTCAAAGGCAGCAATCAGATGAAGACCGGTCAGGACTTGATCAAATGCAAAATTAAAAAGAATCTTAAGATTATAACTAGGTACAAAACAAACATGTTATGATGATTTAGAGTAGCAATGGCTGCAGATTTGTTCCCTATTTAGTCATGGGGTTTTATGATTAATTTCTTTAAGGTTTTGACCATGAATGATGGGCTTACTAAATATGGGATGCAATTTCAAGCCAAATCATTCCTAATGCACATTGTTTAATTTGAGTGAGAGAGAGGTTATTTAGCCATCAGAAAATTGCAATGATAAATTAAATTAAAAAAAAATCAAAACAATAAAAAGTAAATGTTGGATGATATTTGAGTTAAGTGACAAATAAGATAAAGACCAGTCAAATATTAATTAAAATACTTTGACAATGAATTCAAATGATTTTTTTAAAACTTTTACCTTTTTCAAGTTATGAAAAACAAATTGCTTTAAAAGCTGATTTGTTTTCCTCATTTTTTGACTTTTTATTAAATGTCAGAGAAATGCATAATAAGCTTTAGACAAAAAAAAAAAAAAGATATAAAACCATGATATTAGGAATTAAAAACAAAGTAAAACATGAAAGCTAATCATGTAATAGTAAACAATACTTTATTATTACCATCAAATTTCTTTTATCTTGGTTTTGAGAAAATATAAAATTCTTAATCTTTTCATAAATATATTTAGGAAATATGAAATTCAATTATTTTGGTTACTATAGAGAATTAAAATTAAATACACATTTAAGATGAAATAATTCAAGGCAAAGTGACAATCCTGTGGTTTCATTATTTACAAACAGAGAAAAAACTGTAACTATAGGCAAAAAGTTGAGGTCAGGAAGAAGAGGTCATGACTGGCAATGCATAGTTTCATTTTAAGTAGTTGATAACCACAAGTAGAAATGTATTATACTTCTGGTCAGTGTGGTAGTCAAAGCCAGGTAGTACAAGATTAACTGAGATCATTTGCAAACAGCAAACACACACATCAAGTCATAGAAAGACATAAACTGTTATAAGCAGATATAAGCCTGCACACATAAATGAATGCACACAAGTCATATAAATATACATAAAGTGGTAGAAAAGTGTACTTGCATTAATTTACCCTTATACAGAATGATGCAGAAGAAAGATTCTGAAAAGTTTCCAGCTTCACCTACTTCCCAAAATCTACTAAATGACAAAATGGTAGGCTTTTGGCTGGAAAGAGAAATCTTCATTTTTATATATATATTTATATATATATATATATATATATATATATATATATATATATATATATATATATTAGTCCACTGAGTGTTGACCCTAAAGTCTGCTTTTTATATTTACATATGCTCTATCATGGACATTGAGCACTTTAACCTATAAATACATCATATCTTAAAACTATATTTTTATCATATATAGATAAATAAATCTGAATGGGTGCTGAAAGTCGCTTGACCTGTGCATTTCCCAAATCGATATTTGGGCATTAAAATATGGGTTTTGGAGACTGGTCAGGTTGAGAACATTTTAGCAACCACTTGAACATATAAGTATTTGTATATATACAGATGAATATATAATTCCTTGTGTATAGATAAATTAATGCAAACACACACACACACACATAAAAAAAATCGTAATTACAAATAATGATGATGATATCAAGACAGTCAATTTGGGTAATAATCTAAATTCAACAAGTTTATTTCTGAGAAACAGTAAATATTTCAGATTTAAGGGAATAAAAAAAAAAAAAAAAAAAAGAATGTGTCCTTATAGTGAGAAAGAGTGAACAAGAGATATGAAAGACTTGTTTCTAGGCTGAAAACCAGGGAAAGATACTCCTGATTCTTCAGGAATAGTGAATCTGTAGTTTTACATAATTGAACCATAATTAATTGAAGGCTTTATTGATTGATATCAATTAAAAAATAATTCAATTATACAAATCTGTTTGCATGTGTGTCCACAACTTTGTCGTAACAATGTTTCGGATAAAGAGGGAATAATATTGTTAAATAATAGTAAAAAAAAAAAAAAAAAAAAAAAAAGAAGAAACAAAAAGTATGATGAAAGAATCAGCTAATCTTAGGCTGTTAGGTTCTAATAATAATCCCCCTCCTCAAGTCAAATATAGAAATGAATGTCATATAGGAAACTGATTAAGAATGAACAAATAGTAGGTTTGAGACTCAAAACGTCTGCTACCTGATTGGTGCAACTAGTTACTTGACCAATTATAAGTTCTATCCCTGGGTCATGAAAGTTATATACTCTGCTTTAGTGGAAAAAGAACAAACATATTGGACATCATGGATACACTTATTTAAGTAAATGCTCTGTTCTTTAATTAAACAGTATTAATTACATTTACCAGCCTGAATGTTCAAGAAATTTCATAGAAAATATGTGTTCTCCAACAGGAATCGAACCTGTATCCTATGAGGAACCACTATTAAGCATGGTGTGCTATAACCGTTCAGCCACACTTGAATATTCAGGCCAGTAAATGTAATTAATACTGTTTAATTAAAGAACAGAGCATTTACTTAAATAAGTGTATCCATGAAAAATAAAATATAAACAGAATATATATAAAATACAGAATTAATCCATTTCAATGTTTCAGTCAGATGAAATATATATGTATTCATCGTGTACTATTTTTTGCCTTTCTTCTTGTGACCCCCTTCTTATTGTTTATTGAGAACTTTGTCAATTCTGCTTGTTGAGAGTTTTTTCTATTCCAAGTAACCATGACCAATTATTCCACACCCCTTTAAACAATTCTCAAAAATGGAGTAAATACTTTAACAATTTTATAAACACACAAATTTTGTTGAAGGTAGTGAGCAAAAATATTTATGAATATCAGTATATGCAAAATAAACAGAAAAAAAAATGAGCATTGCTTCCAACAAATTGTCCCATTGAGAGGATCTAAAGAGACTGTTGTGACCTATTTAGGAAGATTGTTTATGTTTAAAATAATTAACTAATATATTGGTATCCATAGTAAATTGACAAACAAAAAGTGACTTACCTATCACAGCATGAACACGGACATTAATTTGGGTCCTCAGAATCAGAGCATTTTGCCGACTGAAAATATAAAACATCAATTATTAAACATAAATAAAATGAATAGAAAGTTAAGAATCAAAACAGTGCTTCTCAAACAACAAATGTTGACTGCTACAATAGAAAGAGAATCGCTATTGAAATCTAGTTTTAAATGAACAATAAAACATTTTGCCAGACCGTAGCCGCATTATTAAGAAAATGAAGTGAACAAAAAGAGAAAAGCAGCAGACTTTAAAGACCAGATACAACATCCATTTGAGGATGAATGAAGAATATATCATTTAGACTGTTTTAAAAACTACAAAGACAAAATAATGAAAAGGCTTTTTGGAAATTCATACAAAAACTAAAAATTCCAAGAAGAATATTTAGAATATGTTACTACACTTAAAAAAAAAAAAAAAATATTATAATGCCATAATTTTTTTTGTTGGTCTGTAAACTTGCCACCTATAGTACAGTTCCTTTAGAAAAAATAAGCAAGCATTGGTGATAGTTAATTCTGGACAGTCTTACAAAGTGATGATATCTTATTACTTTCATATATTTCTGTATGTTGAAATCATTGTCATTATATCTGAAACAGTTTTACTTTAGGATGAGTGAACACCTTCCACATCCACTATGTAAGAAGCTGAAATAAATACTATAAAATATTAAGTTGATATAAAATGTTTCTATTCATGTTTTTGAAATTTAAAAAAATAATGAAAAAACAGATGAAGAGAACAGAGATTGATTCAATATTTGTAGCACAACTTTGCCTGTTATTTTTCATCAATGTGTTCAGTCTGCCACTTTTTGGTTTCTTTTAAAGTTTAATGTTAAAGTGAAATTATACAATTGAAATTCAGTTTTGATTTTTTAAATTAATTTTAAGATGACAAAAAAGAATGCTCTTTGGATTTTGTCATATTAAAATAATTCAAATAAAATCATCCCACTAATTTCTTTGGAGTACAGTATGGTGCATCTGAGAAAGGGAGTGAGAGAGAAAAAGGAGGAGGGGATCATCATTGACCAAAATGTCTAGTCACTTCCAGTTCCTATATTAAATTGGTAAATTACTGGTAAAAAGTAATCTCTGCAGATTTTCTGAAAATGTCAAAGGGAAGAAAGAAAAAACTCACATTACAATGAGAAGCACATGGAGAATGAGAGGTAAAAGGCTAATGATGGTCATGTTGTCTTAGTGTCATTATATTGGTCATTGGTGGAATACTGACCATTTGAGGATACATTATTTAGCCAACAAGAACACATTAACGTATACAGACTAGATTTTTTGTAATAAAATGTTTGGATGTGTGTATATGTAATAATTTCATAAAAACTAACTTGGTAGTCAATATAAGATAAAACAACTTTTGTGATAGACAGTTTCTATTTAGGATGTGTTTGAATTTGATTTTATTATTCATTAGATTTTCTTGCTAAAATCTATGAGTGAAATAAAAATAAAAGATATTTATTTAAAAATATAAGATAGTTATCTTTATAAAAAGATTGTTTAAAAACTATTTTTCAAAACATGATGTTACTGTCTGATTTTGGGAAGGAAAGAAGAAAGAAAATATAAACAAATGTTGCATGCTTCCGCTTCATGCTGTTTAGACTGCTTCTGGTTTGTTTTTTTTTATTTCTCTTTTCGATTTCTCTTTTCACTGGAAAATTATTTTTATACTGGAAATTTGTTAGTGATAAATAAAGATTTTCATCTTTTCTTTTATTTTCTTTACTGTTAACTGTCTTACTTTTTTATTTTTATTTACATTGTTACCACCATGTATGTAAGTACATGCATATATTTTGTGAAAATTTTCTAAAAACTACAAATGACAGTAGTAGAAGTATTCAAAACTAGTCCTACAAAAATTAAATATACACAACTTTTATAATTAGAACAAGCCTTTTTAATGCAACCTGTAACATGAATTAAATAAAACATTCATTGACTTTAATCAGTGTGTGGTGTGAGTGTGTATGCATGTGTGTAGTACACACACACAGAGTGGGAGGGAGTGATGAAAAGTTCTTGGCTCCCATACCCACTTAATTAGATTTATTGTTTTGAAGGGATTCTTGGGCAGACCAACAACTTTTCAGCACCTGCTTATATATGCACAAAAATCAACCCAAATTCTGGTGAGAAAAAAAATGAAATGAATTTAAAGGCTATATACAGACAACTTTTCAGCTTTTCTTATGACTGCCCACTGAATTTACTGCTACTCTATGAATCCCTTCATTAACTTTGTCATTTCTGACACTGATAAAAGAAAAATAAAGGTATCATTATTTTATGGAGCAATTCAATTGTTTTCCTTTTCCAATGTTGAACTGATTTTCTTTTTCAGCTTTTTTAACATATAAAGAAAAATTGTATTGTTTGGTTGCTCGTATGAATGCAGCCCCACCCCCATATTAAGTTGCAAATTGGATAGGAAATTGCTTTATTCTTCAACTTAGTGTGATAAAATGCTCTAACAAAAATCTTGATATGCCATTTTTTCTGTATTGGTAACAGACACATCCATAATGAGGAACCAGATATAATGAAGAGAGATATTTATTTTTATTTAAACACAAATAACACTGATTTTAATGATAAAGCATCACTTGAACAAACCATAGCCAAAAATCATTTAAAGCCATGACCTGTGATTAACCATTGTTTTTTTTTCTATAAAATTCCAAATGAGTAACTGCTTCTTATTAAATCAATTTGTTTGATGATTAACAAATTTATCAGCTGAAATGCAAAGCTGAGTTTGTTTTATTTATGAAAATCATAGCGAGGTCACCAAGTTGAGACATTCCAGCTTTTCGATAACATCCTGTCAATTTCCCCAACTGTCAGACGTGTCTGGCTAGATAATAGTTACTCAGCAACAACTGGCAACTTTTAATGAACTTGACAGCCTTTCCTATTATGTAGATATAAACAACATGTGCAGGGCTTTTTAAACTGTTTAGTTCTGGATGGAGGGAAAACAGACTTTTCCAAGTTTTATTTTAGTTTTACTTTATGGCACTTAGATCAACTTTCCACAATGTAATTAACAAGTAAATTATCTTTTAATTAACACTAACAGATACAAAAAAAAAAAAAAAAAATGTTGGAATAATAATAAGAAAGAAAAAGGTTAAGAAAAATAGAGTTTGAAAATTCTTCAAATCTTTTAGTTAAGTTAAAGACAGCCACCTGCAACAACATATGCACTCTTTGATTAACTCTACAATGTCCAAGAGGCAAATGTGCAAGAAGAACAGTTGCACCTTTCTGTCTGTCTCTCTCTCTCTCTCTCTATATATATATATATTGACTGGAAGGAGGTTTTGTTTTGAAAGTGCTAAAACCACTGATTTTAGCTCCATTTTAGCCCATCTGTCATCAGAATCTAATCCTCTTTATTAAAAAAAAAAAATCTTTAAAAATAATCTAATTTGAAACAAATATTACTTACTTTAAGTTTAAAATATCGCAGAAATGCATTTTCTTTAACATGGTGGTAAGTGTTGACAGCTAGACTGACACATGAAAGTTTATCTAATTATTTTTCTATGGTGGACATATCTGTAAAAGTTACTTGATAAATATAATGTGAGCCCCTTATATAATTTTTAACTACCCCATAATCTTAAAAATTTAGGAAAATATTTCCTGTAATCTAATGTTTTATTGAATTTTAGGTATTTTGGCTTTACATTTGCTATAGTTATTACTCTTATTTTCTGATAATGTCATGTATGGATGTCCATGGTTACTAAACCTGGCATCATATTAATGCAAAAAAAAAAAAAAATTCTTTTTAAATTATTGGGGGGGGTTGTTGAATTGCAAGTTTTTCCATTTATGTTTAGTGAATATAGTTTTTACTTAATCACCTAACTGGTACAAATTAATACAGAAATTTAAAAAGATTTAAAACATTATAAATTATTCTAATTAAAATTTTAAAAAATTGAAACAATTCTTATAAAAATTTCAATAACTGAGGATTCTGTTTTACAAAAAAAAAAAAAAATATTATTGATGATTTAAATTCTCCAATGAGATCTGTATATAACTAATAAAAATATTAAGTGGTACAAAAATTAATTTCTTGAAATTTCATAAAACTAGAATTTTATTTTGCAACATGCTGATGGATGTTGAGATCCTCACAGTATTTAGCATATTAGCATTTGCTAACATTTTTTTTACAAACTATGTTTCTTTCAATTTTGCAAACCAATCGATGAAATTTGAATAAGCTGATTTGTTTAGAAAAATACTTTGATAAAAAAAACCCTACTTTGTGGTTTAATTTTCTTTAATAGGACTTCACGGTAAACAATATTTCTTAAGAAATTTTTTCTTTTCTTTTTTCCTTTTTAATGTGAAGAATAAATTCTTAGGATTTCTTACTCTTGAGTATTTGTTTATAGTTCCTGCAAACACAGGGTGAACAGGAAATTGGATTCTTGTATATATAAAAACTTAAAAAGGTATGCAAAAAACAATCTTGCATTTTTATTAACAGTATTTACATTAGTCGGACTATTGTCCTCATCTTTGTCGCCATATTTGTCACAACGTTTCGGCCGTTGTATGCTCCGGCCTTCTTCAGGTGGTTGGAATTTCGAACTGAACCCTTTATTTCGATCACTGGTAGACTGTTCTAGTTCCACATGCCATATTTGATGGATGTCAGTTATCAGTTATCTCCTGCTAATTTTCCCTCTGAAAGTTCTCCACTGCCTTAACCAGGTATTGAACTCGCCTTCTTTGGGTCTGTCACTGGATCTAACCAACGCCTTTATCCACTGTGCCCTTGAGGACATCTGGGTATGAACTTCCGAGTATTATAAACCTAATTTTTTCAGCATCATTTTTTACCAGTGCTCATATTGCAATTTTTGCTGTTCCCATATTGTATTTATTTCTATGCTTGGTCGGCTCAGGAGATTTTTGTGGCCTAGCATATGTGCTGATTCCTTAAGTTTACGAATTTTCCAATGGTGTTCCCTGTCTA